ATGTACCTGCATCTCAGAGTTGATATTAACTCTTTTACTTGAACCCGGTACCTTTCGCTTCAAACGCCATCGCGTTATCCACTCAGCTACTGAGTCCTGATAGCCAATTGCTTGTGTAATGGGGTGAAGTTTGAATTCACTTGGTACTGTTTGTTTGAATCTTCGCATTGTTATTTAGGACTGCGATTAATCTGTTTCTCATTGACATATGCGCATACTGTGCATATTACCTCGGCATAGCCTTAATATAGGACGAAACGCGCATCCTGAATTCCAATGTTAACCACTATCCATCTTTGCTTATAATGCTTGTGAATTAAGGCTATATCGAGGCAATCCGCACAGTATGCATATATGCCAATAAGACACTGATGAATGGCAGTGCTAAACATCAATAGGAAGATTCAAACAAACAATACTAAGTGAATTTTCTTATTGATTAAAAATAACTTCTATAATAATTAAGGCTATATTGAGGCAATACGCACAGTATGCACATATGCCAATTAGAGACTGACCAGTTGCAGTCCTAACAAATCGATGGGAAGATTCAAACAAACAATACTGAATGAATTTAACTTCTACAATGTTTAACAAATAGTTTTATTCTGTCAGTAACCAATTTTTATTAGACTAAGTATAATAGCAATTATTTTACTTTCACTAACGACATGTATATATCTTTATTACAAACTGATATATATACGTAATGTTAATGTAGGCGATCTGAATTAATTATTTGGTTACTGTATACATTAATATTACACAGTATTTGTTTACCTAAATTATTTATTTACATAATATATACAGAGTGAATAGAAAATCATTTACAGCATAGATTAGCATAATTTATTATTCATTATAGTTTTGTGGTGTGGGCTACTTATATCCACATAAGTAGTATATGGTGTAGGTCAGGCATAGAATGTATTTTGGCTGAAGACTGAAATGAAGCGCAATTGGTAGGAAAATGCATAAACAATGAAATTAGAGAAGATGAACAGATATTTACAGAAGGAACAGTCAAGATTGAAACAATTGATTGTTATTTTGCAAATTAACTGTTTACTGTATGGTTATAAGAATTTAGTTAGATAGTATATAATTTGTGCTTAAGTACATTCGATTGTCTCCAACTAGTGTTCTGTTCATTACAGTTTGAATATTGAATTTAATTCATTATTATACAGTTTTAATAAACTGTAAGAGTAGAGTTTTTTTTGTATTAAGCATAGAAAAATACTAATTGAGTTAAAATAGCTACTTAAATTTGAACTTGAAAAAAAATTGAGGTAGGTTTTTGACCTTACCGTAAATCAATTAATTAACTACTAAGTTATATTGAAATTTAATAGAAAAAATGCTGCTGGTTTTCCTAAGATTTTTAAATATAATTTGTTTATAAATACTAACTAGTAAAAAGGTTGAATCTAAGACTTCTTACAGATGACTCCCAAGTAGTTAATATAATACAAACTTTATAATTATGTTTGATCACATTGTAAATTGATCGACAAAAGTCGGTTAGTAATAATAATCAGACAAGGTTATATTTATTACCATTAAATGATCGATCAGTTTTCATACTCTGTAGTACGTAGAGTTTTTTTACAGAAAATCAATCGAACAGAAATCATACCTTCTTTACACTTCTTTTTTTTTTTACCTTTTATCACATTTCAATCGATTTGATGAAATAACTACACAGACTAAGGTAATCAGAATAAAAATCTATAGGATCTAGGAAAATAGAAACATTAATTCGTTAATTAGATGTAACATAGAATTAGGAATGGTATTTATGTTGACAATATCCAACTGAAATAATGTGATAAAAATGACGACCACACAACTGTTCATAATTCTATACAATTGGCCTTTTTATCACTGATATTATGTATTTTGTTTATATCATACTATAATCAGGCGTGTTCTAACTGTTTCAAACTGTTATTTGTGATAATTAATAATAGGGTGAATGATGAAACACACTTTATATGCATATAGTATTTTTATTTATTTATTTATTTAAACACATAAATATTGGTACAGGTAAGCACCAGATAAATATGCGCCGCACAAATCTCATTCGATTTGCTTGAGGGCTGCGATACTGCTCAGGTGCCCAAACTGAAGCAGGTGGTTTTCCTAGGGGGACACACTCGGAGCCTTTGACCTAAAGGTTTTAACCCACAATGCAGTGGAGCATCGTGAGTATATGCAGTCTCATGGTAGTCGGTGACCAACAATTGGTTCATACACCATTTGTTCCTTCAGGATACTGGAGTCCATGTGCACCATTGGTTTGGAATCAGGGTTTTCCAACTTCCCTAGGTGAACCTTACGTGTCCACCGACCCGGTTAAAGCACCGGACATTCGCTTTTTGTCCTCTCACTTTTGTGAGCAACACACCCGTCACGAGAAGGTAGTGAGTAGGACTTCCCTGGTAGAGGCTATATATTTGCGTGGCCATGTGAGAGCATTTAGAGAGGGAGAGCGGCCGTACCAGGACATTTGGGGGCCGCATAGAGTATTAGTTTTATCTCAATTTAAGTAAAAAATAACTCATAATCTCACCATCTAGAGTAAAACAGTTTTGATAAGCTATAATTTACTGCAAAAATGTGAAATTTTGAAAGTAATCTCCTCAACAAAGAGTCAGGAATCATTAAGCATCACATCAGTAGACATTACGGTTGTAATAATAAATTAGAAAGAGTTCTGTGTAGTTTTAGATAGTTTATCGATTTTTTATACATAGAAGACAATCATAAAGTTAATAAAATCCAGAAAAAGCATTATCAGTAATAAGTTAGCTGAAATGAATGAGTTATAGTACTAAGAGGATATGGAAAATGATAAAAAGTGAAGAAAAAAATCAAAGATATCCATCCAATACTTTAAGGAATGTTCAGATAGTCAGCTTAAGACCGATAAAAATTTTATTCTCAACAGTATATACACACAAACTTACATATAACAGATCTCACAATTTCCAAGTGTCACCAACCAGTAGTACATAATTAAACCACCCAGTTTTAAGCCAGTTGTTCATGTTTTCAAATCTAATCACTATATGATATGTGATTTTTTTCATCCCTACTTATCTAATAGATTGCTTCCTAATAAAACTTTTCGGAATTTATATCAAAACCAGCCATCATGAGGCATATGATTGTTGTTTCATTGAGTAGTTTATAAAGATTACTTCTTCATTGTCTCCTAAAATTAAGTAGTATATCAACGTGCAGAGATTTCTAACGAAAATTATCATCAAGTTCAAATGACCCCAACAGATTACTGAAGCGAATAATAACCGTAGACCGACTAGTAAGTAGCTTAATAATATCTTGATGGAATCTTGACTGATTAAATAAGAACATACAGAGAGTGCATCAGTTATCTACTGATGGTATTAGTCAACTGTTATGATAAACAATGAATTGACAAGCTTGAGAATGTTGACTATTGGGTTTTTGTTTAGTGATCTAGATGTTATGTGTTCGCTGAAACATTTAGAAAATCATGAATACACTCCTTGAAGAATTTTTGTGTGCACAGTGTGTAGTAGTTTTAAATTGCCACAGATCAGTCCTCTAATGCTTGCTAGTTTGCGGTGATTCTATAGTGAATATCAATTCATGACGTCAACTGTCATTCAACGAAGCATAAATGCGAATAAATTACTTGATATATAATATACTAAATATATAGGTCTAGTCACAACTTTGTCAAAAATAAAACTTTCATCTATACTAGAAAATATTTGAAGTGCATAAGATTATTACGCATAATTTATGTAATGTGATCATAAAACTCATCATATGGTCATCAATTACCTAGATGGAATAAATTATCTTACCTAGAAATATTCTACACCCAAATATTATCGATCAAATTAACTCGGCAACTTTATGTACACCCATATATTTGTAGTTATCTTTCCAAACTTAAATTCATAGTGAATTCAGAAAATCCTACTGATATATTTGAATCAGAATCAAGAATACTAATATAAACAAAAGATTTTACAAAGGATGTCTATTTTGAAGTGTGTCTTCATCCTTGGTCTATATCAGTCAACAATCCATTAAACAGCCAAAATAGATTGAGCTGAAGCTTTACAATATTATGCAAATAAGAAACCACTTCCGATCGACCCTTGGAGCTTTTGGGTTTGCGGTGTACATGACATTCATACTGAATAGCTTTTACATTATTATTCTACATTTATCCGATTGGATATTATTTGACCGTTTTTTTTGGAAAATTTAGAGTGCTGAGTGTCGAACTTTCTTTTTATAATATGAAGCAATCTTTTTTTCTCCTATTTGTTCAAATCGGTTAGCCTTTGGTTAGATCTTACGATAAGACACAAAACAATATATTATAAATATAAAATGTTTTACATGAATAAATAGTAGGATTTCAGATCAATTTGGTTTGACATCTGCATGAAAGTTAATGATTATTTATGTAACTAAAAAACAATAGGTTAGAGTAAAATCCCAAGTTGCTACTGTATCTCTCATGTATTATCAAGGTACTTGCTGAAATAGAGATTTATTAACTCATGCGTATGTTAATACTGTTAATCTTCAGTTTTTAATAGCATCTGTTGATTATTAACATAAATCGTTATCATAAATGATAGTACTTGGTCTTTATTTACGAGTACTTTATTTCATGGTATGTAGGAGTTTTTCGGATCTATTAGATTAAACATGGTATGGAAAAGGTTAACTTCCCTTCCAAGATAGGGTTCAATGTTAATGATTTATCACTATTATGCACACAGATCAATTCATGTTGTGCTTTGATCGACAGTGTATCTTATAATCCATAGAGTGCTTAGATATACGCATACCAGATATAGTTGGTAGCTTACATTTGCTGGACCAATCGAAAACATTTCAAACACAAAATCTTATAGTTGTCTAGATTATTCAAAGTAGTTGAAACCGAGTGAGATTTAATTCAGATGAATATTTATTCCACCTTATAATAATGGTAATGATATTCTATCTCTAACTGAATTCATGTCTCTTATGAGGTATTGTTGCATTTTTGATGATGATGATGATGATGCTGATGCTGATGATGATGCTGATGCTGATGATGATGATGATGATGATGATGATGATGATGATGATGATGATGATGATGATGATGATGATGATGATGATGATGATGATGATGATGATGATGATGATGATGATGATGATGATGATGATGATGATGATGATGATGATGATGATGATGATGATGATGATGATGATGATGATGATGATGATGATGATGATGATGATGATGATGATGATGATGATGATGATGATGATGATGATGATGATGGTAATAATAATAATATTATTACTATTATTATTAATAATAATACATTACACTCCGTAAAATATTAGCAACCTTATGTACATCGGCTGATGGAATTCAATTTTGTAGGATTTTAAATTTAGAGAACACAACGCACACATACACACTGCTAGCCACTATCCATCTTTGTTTCTAATCCATAATATTGTTTAAATACAGAGATAAGTGAACAGTTGCATAGCTTTAATTTGAAATTCCTAAGTAGAGAGCATCAATTTCTAAAAACTACCTAAGTAAATTCAAGGAGTTGAAATGGTTTGTACAATCTGATGGGAGGTTGGAGTGAATAATCATCGGTCGTTAAATGGACACCGTTTTAATCAATGGTTAGTAATTTGTCAACTTTAGTCATCCTGAATTAGGTGCATGCTTTTTTTAAACTAATGACAGATTTATAAATAGAGTTGAATAGTGACCAGCAATTGAAACCAAGACTCATCTTTCTTCCGTTTTGTGGATCATCAGTTGAATGTACCTGGATCTAGGTGTTGATTTTCAAACTGAGACTCTAATCTCATATGTTTGATTGTAAACACTAAACATGTTATCCAATAAACCACTAAGTTCAGATAAAAACCATATTGAGCAAAGTGTAATCTTTATATGAGTAAGGATTTGTAATTTCTCATTGTTAATATTCGTGATGGCATCTGACCAGTCTCTGTTGCCATACATAAAACCTAGCAAACTGATCTAACGTTGACTGTTGACCGGTTCATTTTTATAGGGTTGCTACTAACCTGGCAGGAAAGAAAATCTTGTAACACTATACTGTGTCATATGGAAGGAAATAATCTTTCAGTCAGTAATTTGGTTTGGGAATTAATCACTTTTGTTTGATAAACCTTACCATAACAAGCTAAAACTGGACGGTAGCTAAACATAAAAATGTATTTATAGTCGCAACATGGTCTAATTTCACAACCTCATTTTTCATTTATGTTGAAATGGGAGTGTTATAGCATCCTTTGTAAAGTTGACAAATTAATCAAACATTGAGGTTAACAATAGACTGAATAAGGTATAACGTTTCTCTAACCTACTGGTTTATATTGCCTCATTGTTTAATTTTAAGCTCTTATTATCTTCTTGCTTCTAATGAATGATTTACCAGTGGCAATGAAATAATCTGTTCGCTGAAAAATTCCCATCATATTAAAACAATTATATTAACAAAGAATATTCTTTTCAATAATTTCTCATCAGGTTCTACAATTATAAATTAATAATCCATAAAAGAAGATCGGCCAAGTTGAAGGCAGACTACATCAATTTAAGAAACTGTAATATGTGAATCAAGGATTGTTTGTCATATAAAATAAGATCGAATCGTTAATGTTTTTGGGATGACTAATATGAAGTGTTAAATTGAATCAGTTTATAGGTGAAATAAAATCGTAAGATAAATGATCAGAATATATATAGTTGACATTGGGGTGAGAGATACAAAAATGGGATTACAAATCGGAAATTACGTAATATGTAGAATTATATAAATTAGGTCGGATTATTATTATTATTATTATTATTATTATCTATATTATTATTATTATCACACCTGCTAACCTATTAGAGAAATTTATTTATCATCCACCCCCTATCTACTAAATCTGACCTAATTTATATAATTCTACATATTACGTAATTTCCGATTTGTAATCCCATTGTTCTATCTCTCACCCCCATGTCAACTATATATATTCTGATCATTTATCTTACGATTTTATTTCACCTATAAACTGATTCAATTTAACACTTCATATTAGTCATCCCAAAAACATTAACGATTCGATATTATTTTATATTTTCACAGTTGAAATCATGAGTCAATTGAAGCTAGACCACCATGGAAAACCTGGAAGCATTGGACGGCCGTTTCGTCCTATTATGGGACTCCTCAGCAGCGCGCATCCACGAACCCGCTCTCGCGAGCGAGATTCGAACCCAGGACCTACCAGTCTCGAGCCGAAGCCCTTAACCGATAGACCACTGAGCTGGCATCCAACGGTGTTAATGTCTAACTTCAACCAATCCACGATATTGAGCGACCGTTCACCAATTGTCTTCAGTGAGATGATATCTCTACAACAGACCTGGTAGAACTCCACTGGCCACTGCTTCCCACTAGATGCGCACTGCTGAGGAGTCCCGTAATAGGACGAAACGGCCGTCCAGTGCTTCCAGGTTTTCGATTGTGGACTCATGATTTCAACTGTGAAAATACTAAATTCTCCACAAAACCCCCTCTGATTTATATTTATGATAAAAATTATATATTCAAATGATACAGAATCCCTCATATAACTAATTCTGTTTATCTTATTTATAAATGGGCGTTTTCTATACAAAACAATTAATAGTAATACTAATCATAATAGTAATAATAATAAAAGAATTAATTAATCTGTAGAAAAAAATTTAGACAAATTTGAATGAACGCAATATATTTAACCAAAGTCAATTACACAGTAATTTATATTATTGATTTAAAATAATTTATTTTCATAGTTGAAATTATGAGTCGATGGAAAACCTGGAAGAACTGAACGGCCGTCTCGTCCTATTGTGGGACTCCTCAGCAGTGATCAGTGGAGTCCAACCAGATCTGTTGTGAGATATCAACTCACTGAAGACAATTAGTGAACAGTGGCTCAACTTCGTGGATTGGTTGAAGTTAGATATTATTACTATCGGATACCGGCTCAGTGGTCTATCCGTTAAGCGCCCACGTGCGAGAGTGGTAGGTCCTGAGTTCAAATCTCGCAAGGCGAGATCGTGAAAGAGCACTGCTGAGTAGTCCAATAATGGGGCAAAACGGCGATCCAGTGCTTTCAGGTTTTCCATGGTGGTCTAGCTTCAATTGGCTCGTGATTTCAACTATGAAAATACTGAAATCTCCGCAAAACCCCTACTGAAAATAATTTGCATCAATTTATGATTTGATATTCAATTCTTTATGATGGCGATTACTTAAAAACAAACAAAAAATAACCGTCACCATGACGTTTTAAATGTTACTTAAATATGGGTAACTTTTAAAAAAAAAGATAAGAAAATTATTTGTCATGTAGAATTAGTTTATAAATTTTAATGCTTCATATAATCTTGAAATTAAAATGATGAATTAATGTTATCAGTATTGCAAATACATTTTATGATTATTTTTTTCTGATAATACTGAAAATTAAGAAAGCAATTTAGTAATAGTACTACATTGTAAGGAAGCATCTCGTGATCAATCAATAAACAGAAATGAAGAATAAACAATTGATGTTTAAAAATAATAATAATCAATATTGCACTTTAAAAAACTAAGTTACAAGATTTAATTACTAGGTAATTCTTGGTTTCAATTTATTCATCGATAATGAGTAAAATATTTTAATAATTACCATATGTATTTTATGGATAATGTTTGTTTTTTGGTTTAAATCGTTGAGTACTTTCGTTAAAAGAAACCATCGAAAATTAGGGAGCACTTTGGAAGTGTTTCATTCTACTATGGGATTTCTAAAAAGTATGCAACTACACCTGTGTCAGAAATCGAACCAGAAAGTCTTAGATTGCATGGCAATTGTGGGATTTGTAAATTATTTTGTTTGTAAATTATAAATTGAAATACTTTATTTCAACTTACATTGTGTAGGGCTGGACTGTAGAGAATATCATTTTAAGAGTGGTAACTAACTACAACTTTAGGTTTTGAAAAAATACTTAAATATAAAAGCAGACGTGTCAGGGTAACAATTTGAAAATGTTGAGCCCAAAAAAGAAAGAGAGTTTTATTGATTACGTTCAATTATATAACAAAAAGACAAACTAAACAACATTAATGAAAATGGACAATAGGTAATACATGTGAATGACCACGTGCAAATATATATATTTCTAATGAAACGAAACTTCACTAGTAATCGTTTTAATAGCTTCAAAATACTGTTTATAATATCATAGCTCATTCGATCTGACCGATAAGGTAAAAATTGCTATGCTATGTAATGAGCAGATAGACAGATACCAGAAAAAATAACACTCATATTATTTTTACGGGTGTAGTCGAAAGTAAATCCTGAACAGACGTTTTATGATGCTTAACATATTTTAGCAAGTTTTACCCATCATCTTGAGGTAAATAATGTTGTCTATAGGATTCGAACTCACATTAACCACTCTCACTTTGTTTCAATGAAATAATCCAGGTTCATGAATATAAACACAAAACTGATAAAACAATATCATTGGGTTGATTTATATTAATAATTTACTAAAGTTTTTGTTAATAATGTTGTCTGGAAAGATAGTGGAAGCTTTTTTCAGTAAATCACCCAACTCTAAGAATGAGACTCCTCTATAAAGTGAATAATTATCATCTAGTTAACTTATTTAGTAATTTAATCGATTGAAATCACTAATTCATTTTTTTAAAACGAATATTCAGCTATCTAGAAAAAAATATTTCTTTAAAATAAAAAAAGAAATATAAACTGTTATATCGATTGACTGAGTGCCCAGTTAATGTATGACATTATGAGACCACCAATGAGAGAGGAGTGGACTGTCGATCAGAGCAATGATACACAAAAGCCGTATGAGCACTCTTGAGTACATATCAGTCCTGATTTCTGCCTAGCCCAGCCAATTAAGTCCAGAACACCAATAACAGCCTTTGCAATATCAATCATTATTCTCAAACATACTAGATTTATATACCAAACAAACTGACCACATCGTACCATAAATTAGAAAATAACATTTGTACAAGATTTAGCCAAACGTGTCTGTGAATAGGGGGAACAGTAATTAATGGACTAGGGATAACTCAAGAATGGTAAATCGCATAATAATAGTCTATAGGTCAAAATCAAGCTTATAATATGAGGGACACAAATATGAATAGCTTAGTTATTTAACAATTATACAATAGGAAAATATACATATTATATTGGTTCATAAATAGTTCTCAAAGTTACCATTCATAAATTTCCACAGGTTATAACATAAACATACTATCAAAGTCAATTCAATGAAGTTCAATTTTCTTTTTATTTCTCTCCTTATTTTACCGACCATGTATTAAAAAACAACCTTGTTTCAATCACTTTGAAGTTTTCTTTTTTTGTTTTTTTTGTTTTGATCATTTGATTCATACGTATTACAATTTTATACTTAATAAAAATAAAACTATTTACTAATAAAGTCCATTTAATTCTTCCAACAAACTCTAATCTTAGTTCTTTTAAGTTAAATATTTAACATTAATCGATAATAGTGATTAACACCATATTATTATTATTATTATTATTATTATTAGTAGTAGTAGTAGTAGTATTACTGAACTATTGTTCGTAATCGATTTTTTATCATTCATATTAAAGTGTGATCATATTAAGGTGAACTTTAATTAATATCTGTACCGAGTTGCTAAGATAAGATAAACTTGTTTTTCTTTTTTTCTTTTTTTTGATATGTAAATGAAAATTTCTGAAAATTATCTTCTTTTAAGTTAATATACACCCATTTATATTATGATGAGAAATAAAACATTTTCTATATTTAATTCTATTTAAAATAGATTCTATTAAAAAATATCAATCTTTTTAAATAACATTAAAATTCAAAATGAAAAATCTCATGAGCAAAACTAGAATTTTTTCATAGTTGAAAGCATGAGTCAATTGAACCTAGATCACCATGGAAAACCTGGAAGCACTGAACCGCCTTTTCGTCCTATTATAGAACTCCTCATCAGTGCGCTTCCACGATCCCGCCTTGCCAGATTC